GCCAGTACTCGTCCTTTTGGATTCACCTGCTGGTCTGGGCAGCCCCAGTCCTGATGCTTGGCGTTTAAATCTCCTATTAATAAGATGTTTTTTCCTTGATTAAGTAATGTTGTCATTGCTGATATTGGTAATTTCTCAGCTGGCGGCGAGTAAATGCTTGCAATAACAAATTCCTTATCATTAATGAGGGTTTGGACTGCTATAATATTCGGCTCCTTAATATCTAATTGGTGACATTTCAATTTTTTATCTACTGCTAGTACTGCTCCACCGTGTGAATTTGTTCCTTCTTTGGTGTAAACATTGTAAGAAAAAAGAAGCCGTTTGATTAATTTGTTTGGGATAACTGTACCTAGTTCATTTATAGATATTATCGTTGGATAGTTATCACTTACCATTTCTTTCAGATCTTCTTGGTTTGCGTAAAAAGAACGAATGTTATAATGTAGAATGGAGAGCATACTTGTGGACACTTTGGGTTCCTTATGTTGTTGTTGCCACTGGTTTGATAATTCTTGTCGATCCAGAGTCCAGCAAATTTCATATAAGATATCTATTCCTAGTTGCTTTTGTCGATGAGAAAGATTATGTACTAACGGAAAAAACTTTTCGGATAATTCGTTAAATTTATATTTGTTAAATTGCTGTGTGGTAGAGTTAATGGTATAGGCCATTTGCAGCTAAGAGAGAGGATTGGTTTGCGGTTGATTGATTTGCATCGGCGATAGATTGAGACTGTTGATTAGATGTAATACCATTTATTTTTTCGCTGAGATTTTTAAGTGCCACTTGTGTGGCTTTGGTTTTCGATGTTTGAGATACAATACTACTTAATTCTTGGATAGCTGGGAGAATGATTTCATTTATGACATTTTCTAATTTGTAATGACGATCTGTAAATGTATTAATTTTCTTCTCAATCTCACATAATTGTGATGACAGTCGAGTCGAAAATGCCTCTAAGCGTCGTTCCATTCTTTCCATAAAAGACGATATCGTAAATTCGATATTTTTCTGCGGACCCTGCTCATTTTGTTTGGTGATTGTTTCAGCGTATGATCTTCGAGGGCCTTCAGCAGATTGATGCAGCAACTGGGAGGGTAAACGCCTGTAATGATCAGTATTTATTCCTGGATAATCATTTCCATGGGCTTTATAAGTACGTTGCTGTTGATCAGCTCGTACGAGTAATTCAGCACGTTGTCTTTTCGATTGTTCCATTAAAGCGTGACGTTTTTCTTGTACTATTGGGCAAGCAGAATGGCCGGAGACGTGGTCTCCTTCACAGTTTATACACTTTTCTGGATTATTACAACCGTGTTCGAGGGA